ACCTCTGTCTCTTACATTCTTCCTGTTCCAAGATTATCTCAGAGCCTTGGGGAGAATGGTGTGATAATGACACTTACGGGATTCTTTAAAATTTATTTTATTATTTTCAATTACATGTAGGTTTGAGTATCTTATTCTGGGTATGTGAACATGAGGGCAAATGCTTGAGGAGGCCAGAGGCATCACACACCTTGGTCATGGCATTTCAGACAGTTGAGAACATCCTGATATGGATACTGGGAACCAAACTAAGGACCTCTGGAAGAGCATCAACTGCTGTTACCCACTGAGATGTCTCTCCAACACTGCACATTTTTGTTCCAGAATTTTATACAAGTATATAGTGTATATTGATTAAATCCACTCCCCTTTCCCTCCCCTATCATCCTCTCCACTTTCCCTCTGAATTTCATCTGCTTTTATTTTCAATAAACTGAGTGCACTTAGTACTGTCTGTATGTCCATGTGTCTAGGATCACCTACAAGAACCTGGATATGCTCTCAGGAGCAGAAACTCTGAAGAAAACTGACTGTCTCTCCCCAAGTAGCTAGCAATCTCAGCCAGAGTCAAACTTCAAGAACAGGTAGGGTAGCTGGATTGATCTCATGAAGATCTTGTGCATATAGTCATAGCCACTGAGAATTCATGTGTGCAATGGCAAATGTTTTTCACAACATATGTTCAGTACCTCGTCTCTTACAATCTTTCTACTCCATATTTTGATTTACTGACAGTATTATAAATGTTGGTCAGTGTTGAATAATTATCGAGAAGGTCAGTAAGAGATTAGAGATACTTAGAGAAGTATTATTACAGGAGTCACAAAATTTAAAGAATTAAGGTTTAAAAATAAATGTATAATATTTTAGCATTATTTTATTTATTTTTAGACAAGATATTATTATCCAGCCCTGGTTTATCTGGATCTCACTAGGAAGACCAAGCTGGCCTTATACCCACCATGCATAGCCACATATATTTATATATAAAATTTTTACAAAAGAGAGGACCCTAACTAAAATGTTCAATCCCCATCCTGAAAGGCAAAGAGGATAGACATCAGAAGAAAAAGAAAACAGGAAACAACCTAGGAACCTGCTACAGAGGGCCTCTGAAAGCCAGAAGAAGAAAACAGGAAACAATCTCGGATCCTGCCACAGAGGGACTCTGAAGGCCTCTGCCCTGCAGACTGTCAAAGCAGATGCTGAGCCTGATGCCCAACTGATGGGCAGAGTGAATGGAATTTTATGTAAGAAGTGGGAAATAGTAAGAGCTGGAGAGGACAGGAACTCCACAAGGAAAGCAACAGAAGAAGAAAATTTGAACATAGGGAACTTCCCAGAGACTCATACTCCAACCAAGGACTATCCATGGAGATAACCTAGAACCCTGACAATGCAGCCACTTCTGATGAGAACTAATAGACTAAGATCAGAAAGAAGGAGAGGAGGACCTTCCCTATCAGTGGACTTGGGGAGGGGCATGCATGCAGAAAGGGGGGGGGAGGTTGGGACCGGGAGGGGAGAAGGGAGGGGCTTATGGGGGATACAAAATGAATAAAGTGTAATTAATAAAAGTTAAAAAAATAAAAAAAAATTGCATGGCCATATTCGTAACAGATTTATTTCTAATTTTATTTTTCTTTAATTTTTCATTATTATTTATTATAATTTATTCACTTTTTATCCCGCCTGTAGCCCCATCCGTCATCTCCTCCTGGTCCTACCCTCCCCCCTTCTTTCCCCCTATGTCCCTCTCTCAATCCACTAATATGGAAGGTCCTTCTCCCTTACTTTCTAATATGGAAGGTCCTTCTCCCTTACTTTCTGACTCTAGCCTATCAGGTGTCATCAGGACTGTCTGTATCCTCTTTTTCTGTGGCCTAGTAGGAACACCTCACCCGGGAGAAGTGATAAAAGAGCAGGCAACTGAGTTCATGCCAGTTACTGCCTCCGCTCCACTTACTAAGGAACTCGCATGGAGACTGAGCTGCCCATGGGCTACATCTGAGCATGGTATCTAGGTCCTTTCCATATATGGTCCTTGGTTGATGCATCATCTCTGCAGGACCCCCTGGGCCCATATTTTTGGCTCTGTTGGTCTCCTTGTAGAGCTTGTTACCTCCAGGTCTTTGTATCTCCCAATTTTTCCACAAGACACTCTGAACTCTGCCCAAAGTTTGGCTATGAGTCTCAGCATCTCCTTCAATACCCTGATGGGTAGACTCTTTCAGAGGCCCCCTGTGGAAGGCTCCTGTCCTGTTCCCTTTCTTCTCCTACTTCTAATATCTATCCTGTTAGCCCTTCTAAATGAAGATTAAGCATCTTCCCTAGGGTCCTTCTTGTTTAGTTTCTTTAGGACTATAGATTTTATAGTTTATCCAATATTATATGGTTAACATCCACTTATAAGTGAATATGTATCATATGTGTCTTTCTGCTGGGTTACCTCATTTAGGATGATCTCTTCTAGCTCCATCCATTATTTTATTAAGGAAAGAAAAACATCTTATATATAGTGTAGCTTATGTGTATACTGTGTATAAATATTACAGAAGTGCACTGTAATCTTTGAGGCCTTCACATTCCCTCACCACTGACTCATTCCCTTATCCAGGGCAATTTCTAGTCCTGAAAGCTTCATTTTTGGTATTATTTACAGACACACCATTCATTTAACCATCCATGTTGTGGTTTTGCTCTATTTTTTCTATGTTTAGGCACATGAATACTTACTGCTGCATTAGTTTCCTACTGTATTTAGTAAAGTAGCATGCTGTAGAAATTTATGACCTGTGAGCAAGATGATACATCATGTAGCCTTGATGTGAAGCAGAGCTAGAACATCTAAGTTTCTGTAAGCCCATGCTGTAATTTTTGCAGTGATCAAAGTGCCTAATATTTCCAAAAACATATTCCCATTGTTAAATGATTCATATATCACATTTTAAATCAACTCATCCAACTATAAACATTTTTGTTGTTATTGCATTTTTTATTAGACCTGGTATTCTAAAGAATTGACTTTGAAAAAAAAATTTCCACCCTGTTTGTTGCTTCAGTGAATTGACTTGTTGCCAGTGAATTGAGGTTTCTTAGTCAAGCTTCTGAGAGCCTATCAAATAAGCAATTTTATCTATATTATTTCTGAAAATCAACATCATAAATCTATATAATGTTTGTATTATTTAATGTCCATTTATACTGGATGTCTCTGTTATCATTTCCAAAGTCTGTTAAATAAAAGGAAAATGGGGGGTCACTTATTCAATAAGAAATGCAACTTAATTTTCATTAAAGGGAGCTTCTGTAAGGTGAAGGAGGGAAAGTAATTCTATTTCCTTTTCTGAATAAGACATAAATTGAGTTGATAGTCATTACACTGAATATGTATGGGATCACAAATGAAGTTGAGATGAACCACACAATGAGGTAAAAATGTGGTTAGATGTAAGCATTTATTTTTATATGGTCATTACCTTTGCTAATGTTTATTCTTACAAAAGCTTGTAATCAGTTTAGGATTATCAATTCACTGCCTTTGGATTTTAACTTTTCACTGTATATATTTAACAATACATATTCTTATTTAGACTAAAGGAGAATATTTCTCTGCCTCATTCCTAAATTTCCAGATGTTTGAATATCTGTTTTCAGAAATTTCAGATTACCGCTATTGACAAGCTGAAGGTTCATATGATTATAGGAATTCAAGATTCTCATGTTTTCTGGGCAAGACGGTACATACGTGTAATCACAGCACTCCTTACGGCAGGAGGGGCATTGGGATCAGATGTTCACAATGAGCCTTAAATACATTTTAAGTTTCAGGGCATTTTGGGCTATATAAAAATCATCTCAAAAATTTATCATTCTATCTTTACTCTATGTCTCAGACTTCCATTCTTTCCTTGTTTGGATACACATACATAGATGTATAGCCCTTTGAATGTTATGCATGGTCTCCATACAACTTGGCAGACCCCTTAATAAAATATGGTTTTGAAATTGAGCAGTTTTAACTGGAGATGGCAGTCGCTTTTACCCAATGGCTAGGATAGATGGTAAAATTGGCTTTTCCCTTGGACTAAAAAACCTAAGCTAAGGATCCAGCTTGGGACAAACTTACAGGCCACCTGAACAGCCCATAGTCTGGAAGCAGTGTGAGGAAGCCAACTAAGCTAATTGTTTTCCACAAACAAAATACCATTTGATGGCCTAGTCAAAGGACATAACAAAAGATAAATGACATCTCTAAAGGAATCAGGTTCCCCAGTCTTTACCTCAAACAGAATACTCAGGCATTCCCCTATGTGAGAAAACCTGAGGCTCTCATTTTTAAATACAGGCAATCAATAAGCTTAGTATCTCAGTATGATGGAGCACAACATAGTCATATTAAAAATTGTTACCTATGTCTACTTTCCATTCTCAGAAAAATATTTAAGGCACATATACTTGATCTGCTAATTTGCAATGATGAATACAGTAATAAAAGTGTATGAGAGCCTTCAGGTGGTGGTGGTGCACATCGGTAATACCAGCAATTAGGAGGCAGGGGCAGGCAGACCTCTGAGTTTAAGGCCAGAATAATTGACAGAGCAAGGTCCAGGGTAGTCAGCCAGGGCTATACAGAGAAACCCTGTCTCAAAACAAAACAAAACAAAAAACAAAAACAAGAAAGTGTATTAGAATATAGTGTATTAGAACACAGAAACAGCTTCCTGGGAATACCAAAGGGGACAATATGTTGGAATCAGAGACATTATTATATTGTAAATATAGTCATTTTCCCAGAACATAGAGTTGACATATTGTATGGTGTGTCATACTTTTCAAAGCTATATGGAAATCATGGGGTTGACAGATTATGCATATTAAAGGAATGTTAGTAAATTTTAGGCAGGAACCAAAAATGGTTTTGTTAGGTATGAAGGATAAATAATTAGGAAGGTTCTCTTCTAAAATAATATAAAGTCAATCATAAAAGTGGGCATTTATTTAGAATGACATTTTTTATCAAGAATTAAATGATGACAACAAGCACAAGGTTTAAACAAATTGTGTGTGTGCGTATATATATATGCTTGTACATACATTAATTTATACAAACACCACAACGTTTCTATACAACTAAAGTGAAATGAACATTTAATATAATGGTTTTATTATAAATCAAATACCAAAATTTTACAAATTGTACATAAACATATAGCCATGTGAGATGAACTCAAAAGAAGAGCCCAAGAGTGGAAGTTGTCCCACTCTATGAGGTAAAAATGTAGAAACGTTTGTGTTAAGCCCTTAGTACATCTTTTCACATCAAATTTTTTTAAATATATGAGCTTTTCTAAAGTTTTTCTTATAAAAAAAACTTGTATCAAGTACAAGAACAACTAAGTTTGTATACATAACCATATAGTGAATAACTACCATATATAACAAGTAAGAACTTTTGCTGTAACATTTTTTTTTCAAATTTCCAGATTCTGGTCCATCTAATAGGTTGGAATGATTTACCAGTTGGCATTTATGTTGTTGAAACCAATTGGAACCATTCTGTAAATAAGCCAGATGCTAAAGCTTGCTTGGTTTGAGACAAATAACTTTATATTTGAAGACAGGATTTTGAACAGGGCTTGCTTTTCCTCCTTTATATCAAACTAGACATACTTTGAAGCAGCAACCCTGGACTGTAAGAGTGATCAGACTGTTGACATACTGACTTTAACCATCTTACACATGTGCTCAAATAGCTATATTAAGAAGATCTACCTATAATTATGAAGATAGCCAGAAGCTTATCTGTTTTAAGCAGTTATTCAGCACTGAAGTACAGACACTCCTTCAAATGTAAGTTCAGAGAAGCGTACAATGAAAAATTCTGTTCATGGATACCAGAATCATTTTCTGCATGCTTAGATGTTATACACACATACATGTAGATTACATGCAGATAACCCATTTGCTTTCTAATTTTAGATTGTTTTCTTGCAAAAGCAATTTTGGTTAGGTATACAATATAGCAAACTTTAATTATCTTTGGTTCTATGGTTTAGAGCTATTTTCCCAAAAATAAATAGGCATGTCAGGAAAAATAATTCAGCTATCTTAAGAGAGAACTCAGTATCAAAAACTTGAGCAAAAATATATAACTGATATTTGTTTTAGACATCTTTTCTAATCTCTTGCTTACAATCTAACACCAGTACAGTTTTAGTAAACTGAATGTGCATAACATATTAACTATACAGCAAAGGCACAAAAATATCATGGAACAAAATAGTAGTTTCCTTTAAAGTTGCCTAAGAATTATGCATTCTAAAATATATTAGAAAATCAAACTGCCAAAAATATTTTGAAGAAGCACAAGAAAATAAAGATGGCTGTAGTGGTAGCTACAGATCAAGATCTTAAAAACAAAAACCTTATAATCTAAAGAACTTCTTCTGCATTTTTATATTAACATCTTGGAACATTTAGAAGATTACTTTTCTAAAGTGTCGTCTAGGTTTCATTATGTTTTCAACTCTCAGCAGAATTAATGAGCTTCATTTCGTAGTGACTGCCGCCGCTTTCCAGATATGATTTTGGAATCATATAATTCTCTCTCCCTATAGCCAAGGGATGGGCCTTTTAGATACTTTGCCTCAGCTGCCTCATAATCTAAGCCATCAACAGCAGAAATTGAGCAAATAATTGCTTCTGGTAGAAGAACTTCCAAGATAAACTTAATTTTGTCATCTTTTATCAGAGTTAGCATCTTCTGGTCTATTTTTTTATAAATTTCTTGTAGATATTTCACTATCTCATCCAGTTGTTCTTCATCTTCAAAATATGTTTCAATACAGGGTGTAAAAGTCTTTGCATGCAAAAATGCTTTCAGCCATTTGGATTTTTTTGTGCCCTTTAAAATGGCCAGGAGGTGGTCCTCTGTTCCTTTTGCATTGACAATGAAGTCTACCAGGTTCTTGTTAGCACGATCCCGAGCAGGTTTCATTCGGTCAGGAAGAATTTTCTGGAAAGACATTCTCTTGGTGTGGGATGTCACAGGCAATTGGCCCCTTGTGTCTTCATTGTAAAGCTTTGGAAATATATTTCTGAAGGTATCTTGTTTGATTAATTTTCTGACTGGATAACTGATGTCAGCAGCATAATACTCAAAAAATGAGCCTGTAAAAGAACGACAACCTAGTCTAACCCTGTAGTCACAAATCAGTGACACACACCAATCGATACTTTCACGGTACTCCTCCCTAGCTTTCTCTACTAGTTCTTGTTTCTCTTTACAGTCATATTTTTTTAATCTTCTGAGAGACACTCTAACACCTTTCTTTTGAGGATTCATGTTTGCCTCAACCAAAAGCACACTTGCTTTCCTCTCTTTTCGCCTAATACTTTTTATCACTGCTGGCCAAAATGGGTATTTTTGATATTTAAACCACACTATCATTCCGGTTTCAAATGCCCGTGTCTCATAACAGAGAATGAAGCGTGGGAGGTCTTCATCCTCATCATCGTCATTTTCTAACGCAGCTTCAAGAGCAGGATGTAGAGACAACAGCTTGCCAGAAGCCCGGGCTTCTTCCTCAAGGTCTTCTAAATCCAGTCTCTGAATTAGTAGATCACTGTTGACTGGATTATAGGCAGGTAGTGAAACCTGACATTCCCCTGAACACCCTGCAGCAGATGTTTCAGCACCAATTTCTGATTCCACAGAAGACTGACTTTGGCTGGCATAGAAACATGGATTCTGATTTGATGGGCCCTCTCCAGGATCCTCCACATTATTCTCTGAGGAGGTGGCACGTTCAGAGGAAACAGCTGGGACATCTGGGACATCCTGGGATTCTTCTTTGAGTACAGCAAGATCTTCTGATGATGGGGAAAACTTTTCTTCTTTTATATAGTCATTTTCCTCTTTGAGTGATGAATTTAGGGACATGACTGTTGAGATATCAAACTTTTTTTTGTCTTCATTATCATCATCGTCTGTAAATGAAGAATAAGTTTGGCTCCAGCTTAGGTTTTGTGATGACTTGGTTTCCATTTCACTTGACCTACTCTGACTTCTTGTGTGCACCTGCGTTTTATCATCAGGCAGGGAATCATCACTGTCTGAGCACAGTAACATGAAAGCGGATTCTTCCTGAAATTTTCTCTTAAGTCTCCGGAACTTCTTATGAGGAGGTGAATCAGGTGGCTGTTTTATGACATTTTCAGCTGCTGTCGAGGTATGTGCTTCATCTGATATGCTTTCTTGGCTCTGATTTGTTCTTTCTTTCACAATTTCCAGTGCCATTTTCAGTGATCTTTCATACACTGTCTCCTCTCTAGGTAGAACTTTGACCTCTGACTGTACTGCTAGTGAGGACACAATGGCTTTAACTTCACATTCACTTAGGGCTCTTGTGTCTTTGCTATCCACTGTAATTTTCTCATCCAGTGAAAGTATTTGAACTCCTAGGGAAAATGTCTTTTTCTTCTTACTGCCTAATGGAGTTACACACCTATATAAAACTTTTGCTGGCCATAATTGGTCTTTCCAATTACATAGGACATATTCATTATCCATTATGATTTCGATTACTGTGCCAAGCAGTTAGTATTGCAGACAAAGAAATTGGCTGGCCTTGTGGTTACAAATACAACTGCTATCAAAACAAGTCTTATTAAAGTTTCTTTCTGATTTAGAACCACAAAGAGTTTATGGCTTATGTGCACTGTTTTCTTCCACAAATAATATGTCCCCAGGTTACTTGAACATGTTGTTTGAATAAGAGAACTCTGGAAGAAACTGTAATAGGGAAAACGCTATTAACAAAACTATCTTGACACAGTACAAGGCAAGCAAATGCATGTAAAAGAGATAAACTAAAAGGAGCTATGTTCAATGAGAGACCAGACAAAAATGCAGCTTAATGGATAAAGAGGTAACACCTAGAAATAGACTGTATGATAACCACAATATAAGAACTTACTTTTTGCTAAAGAATATGTATCTGTATAGCTAAAAGTACTGTAGTTGTATGCTAGGGAATCTATGTCATTAGATACTCTGCTATTTTTGTATTCCTAGTGGTACTCCCGTGGTAGGGATTCTTCAAATTTAGCATTCGTGAGGATCATCTAGAAGGCCTCACTGATTGTTGAGCTCCATTTTCAAAGTCTCATTCAGAAGTTCTAGATTGAGTTAAAAACTGTAATTTTACTAAGTTCTCAAATGCTCCTAAATATTTCATTAACACTAAAGGCAGTCTACGATCTGAGCACATGGCTTTACTCAAGCTTTTAACTGAATTATGTTAATATAAAAGTTGCTTTTAAATTTAAAATGCTACAGATGCAGAGCAGGAAGCAAAATCAAGTATTTAAGATATCAGCATGTTTTCAAATGAGAAGTGTCCCCTGATGGGAAGAGCTTACTCTCTGTCGTGTAGATGATGGTGGTCTTCCAATGTGAGATCCAAATATCTTGAGCTTCACGCTAGCAGATTTCCAAATAGGACTTTCTAGGCTCAAGTTGAATCACATGCAGACTTCCCACGTCACATGCACCTCTGATATTAACCAAGGCTGTACAAAAGAAAGATAGAGAATTAAATCAATAAAAGAAAAAAATTGTAAAATAAACCTGCCTGCCAAAAGTAATTTGCATGCCATTGTGAAACATAGGGATGAGATGAAATCTTTTCATTAATGTAGATGTCATATTTGGTTTCCATTGTGTTTTTTCAAGATGGAATATTCTTTACATTCATGCTGAAATGGACCTTACTCTCGAAAAGTATGTGGTGAGACATGAGGGGAGGTAACAAATTATTTTGTGTCTACTATGAATCACAGTATAGATTTTCTGATTGAATCTTCCCTTTAATCATTATATGGATTTCTTATTTAAACTTAACGTTGTTATCAATGCAATCACAGTTACATGGCACACTCTATGTCATAATCTTATTAATAAGAAAACAGTTTCACTGTTTGTTTGCTTGCATCATAAAAATGGTTGCCTGAAGGAAATTCAGGCTTTCTGGTGCTTACACCATCTTGTGATCAGTACCAGAAATGCAGCCTGTGGTGAGATAAAGAAAGAAAAGTCACAGATCATCCTTCAATTTTACCAAGGAAGACTCAGGAGACAGATGCTGGGGAGAATGCATGCTAGCTTAGAGAGGCAAAGAAAGGAACCAGCTGACCTTCCTACTCAGCTGAAGTCACAAAGTAAAAAGTGTTTCTTATTCAGCTCTCATCGCAGATGGAAAAGGCCCAATAGCTTAGCCAATAGCCCAGGAGGAAAACAAAAACAAACAAACAAAAAAACAAAAGCTAAAAGGCAAAGGGCTAAGAGCTTGATTCTTCTTCATGCTGCCTTAAATAACATTTAACTCAAAATCCATCCTTTCTGTTAAATCCCTGTCATCTGGTTACTTGCTCTACCTCTTGGCCTAGGGTTAACGTTATTAACTCCTGTGTACAGAAAGCTCTTGGATTTAAGGTATGTGCTAGGGATGAGAGACACCATAACCATCTTTTTACAATAAACAGAAAGTTATTGGATTAAATGTGTATGTTAAGACTGAACCACACCAACACAGTGAAATAGGTTTTCACTGTGCACAATCTTGGGGTTCACAATGGGATCAAATATCCTGCAACATGGTCCCTTAACACAAGATCCTTCTTATGGGAGAAGGATATAAACTGTACTAGCCAGTTAGGAGACTCCTTGGGTTTTTATAATTCTTTCTGCTAAATATAAGGGTTTAGGGCTGGGGATGTAGCTCAGTGTTAGTGTTTGCTTGGCACATTTATGATCCTGAATTCCCAGTACCACATAAAGATTTAAAAACCTTAAAAAGTATAGGATAGAAACAGGATTTTGTTTTCACCACAGTCTTTCTATTGGTCCAGAGACTTATTGAGATCGAAATGATATAAAATACGTATGCAAATAATAAAAGTACAACTTGACACAAATATCGACCACGAATATTCTTTCTAGAAATTTTTTACACAGATGAATGAATCCCCATTTCAAACCAGGTTCACAAAACCCACTCAAGAGTATGGTTTGAACATAAGCCTATATAAATATTTTCTACTTGATTTTACATAACTTATTAAATGAGGTTTGTTCCAAGTGTATAATAATTTATTTCAATATTTCCCTGAAGATGAAAAAACTCAAATAAAAATAAACTAATATTTTAAAAATACAGACTGGTAAAGCCATCCCTGATTCTCTAATTCTACAGATCATGTGTATTTTTTTTATAAATGTGTTTTTCAGATTTAGTTGCGTACATTATAGTAACATACATATATTAAGACAGCATATATAAACTTGTTCAATAATTTCTCTTTATCAAGTACTATTTCTCAGAAACTTTCAAATTACTTCAGTGTGGAGGCTAAAGTTTTCTATTTACCATGTACTTAATACTACAGTTTGCATGTATTATGTTATATAACATTCTTTAAAAGCTTATAGAAATATTTTGTTTTATCTGTACACTTAGATGATGCAGAAAATTTATTTTGGCAACCAGGGTTCCATGTATGACCTGAAATAATGAACTGCAAGGAGACCACACACAGATTTATAATCGGAACAGCAAACAATTTCTTTTTCACTTTTGGAAAAAATTTATGGTTGTGGAGGCACAGATGTATGTTTTTGAATGTTTGTGTTTAGAAAATGGGTGTGCTATTTGAGCTTCATTTTTCTTTTGCAGTTAAATAATCACGAGGCAATCTAATCTTTATGATATTGAAATGGGTTAAACATATTAAAATAGCAACTTGACTACTCAGAAATGATGTTAACATAGAAATTTCTGTCACTTTGTTTCCAACCACACACTTACACATGCATAGAGTATCAGTTCATGTCTTTACACAGCTGCAAATTTGATCTCCTTCCTGTATTCATATGCATGTTACATATACATACTTATTTCTGTGTATCCCAATTAGCAGATGTACTGTTATTGAATATTTCTGTCAGTTTTATTTCTGTGTAAATAAATAAATGTTTGAAACTTCATAGAATAACAGAATGCCTCATAATAACAAAAAGGTTTGCCAAGTTAGGAAATTAGCATGGACGGCCATGCTGCAATGAAGCCTTAATTTAGAGGCTGTAATCTGATCACCCCATTCCCCTCTGTGGACTTAAAAAAAAAACCTTGGGAGAAATAGAAGTTCCAGAGGATTAATGCCCTCAAAATGCCAAAAATTCTCTAAAAATCATAAACCGTTCCTTCCACTCCAAGATCACCCTTCCTTTTTTCGCAGTTTCATCCCAGAGCTCCGACAAGTCACTAGAAAATAAATTTAAGTCAGACATTACCTTGAAGCTTCTTGTCAGCTGCAGCCTGGTAAAATACAGCTCCTCCCCCAAGACTGGCAGGACAGAACTCACAGGCACTGCTCAGAGAAGGCTCCACCTCCAGAGTGATGCAAAACAGAAAGCCACTCCCTGAATTACAGGAGACACAAGTGCCAAGAAAAACCGCTGAAGTGTTGAGACTTAGAAGTGTTCCCCTTTAAAGAACTTTAACACTGTAATAGCAACAAGGGTCTGTCTAATTTCCATTCAAACCGTCAGGGTGGACGATTTCTTGAGGAGGTTGCAAAACACTTATCTCAAAGTAAGAAAGCCCTACTTTAAATATTTCTTACATATTTTAATTAGCGTTCTCTGCCATCCTGATTGTAGGTGACTTTTCTTTCTTTCTCTTTCCTTTTTATTACTGTCCTCACTGAAATAATGGGCTTCATTCTGAACTCTTATATACGTGCATCGTATGCTTTTGTTCTTATTTATCACTTACTGCCCTTTTTTGTTCACAATTCCCACTCTGACTGGACCTATTCCTCTTCCCAAGCATACCCCCTCGAACTTGCTCACACAATACATCCACACCCCTCAAACCCACTTAGAATAAGAACACAAAAAAAGAAAACTATATAACAAATTCCTACATGAACACAGATGCAAAATTTCTCAATAACATACTTGCAAACCAAATATATTTACAGGTAAATTGAAAACCATGTTGGTCAACGTCTTTTTATGTAGAACAAGAAAGATATTAAGATTACACAACAACTTTACATTAATTGAAATATTTTTTTTCTTCTGTGTGCAAAATGTGGTATATCTCTGCTTTGACTCAGGTCTTACATTCTTCAGGAAAGCCTCAAGGATTGCTTCATATACATATTTATTTCTGACTAGAAGTTGAGAAAAAAATCATTTGTTTGGAAAGAAGTTAGCCATTTCTGTGTATCATTTCCTATAACAGGAAGATGCTTTTTCTAGTATTTTGCTGTTATGTTTCACACTTGGCAAATTCACTGGAGGGAAAACTTTTTTTTAATTTACATGCATTTTGTTCATCAGAATATTTCTATGGTAATTCTAAATTAGAAAGCCAATTTAAATATATTATACTTAAATTGTAATTGATAACTTGAGATATGCAGTGTTATTTTCCTCAGTATAACATACTATATTACATTATGCATATGGTATAAGTTTTAAATGTATTTTTTGTCTTTTCCATCTTTTAAAAATTTAATTTTATTTATATATTTATTTATTACAACTTATTCACTTTGTATCCCCGCTGAAGCCTCCTCCCAAGACTCCTCCAAATCACACCCCCCTCCCTCTTCTCCTCCCATGCCCCCTCCCTAGTCCACTGATAGGGGAGATTCTCCTCCCCTTCTATCTGACTCTAGCCTATCAGGTCTCACCAGGACTGGCTGCATTGTCTTCCTCTGTGGCCAGGTAAGACTGCTCACCCCTCAGGGGGAGGTGATCAAAGAACCTTACACTGAGTTCCTCAGAGACAGCCAATTACTAGGGAACCCACTTGGAAACTGAGCAAAAAAAAAAAAAAATCACATTTTCATAACCTTTATTATCAGAGTAATAAATACTAATCGACTAATAAAAGTCATCTGTAAGCTGGGATGTTGTTGGTGACTCTAATAAATATATCATGCAATATTTGTAATATTCACAATTCTCACACATTCACTCCCTAAAAATGTAGGTCATCAACTTGCTCTTTAAGACAGGATGCTTTGTTTCAAGCAGTCACTAAAGAACCCAAACTTCTTCCATCCTATGGCTTTAGCATCTTCTCGGGCCTGGAAATCCTTTAGTTACATATATATATATATATATATATATATATATATATATATATATATATATATATATATTTTTTTTTTTTTTTTCTGATTAGATATCTAAGAAAGAGGGAAGATGGACAGTCCTATGGACAGTTTTAAGGGCTATGTCTGACAAATCTCACCACTAGCCTCTGTCCTCTAACCAAAATGGAGCACAAACTACCATAAAGCCAAGATAATGTAGGCTCCTGGTGATTCAAGAGGGCCATTTTAAAATCTGTCCACCACAACACTGTATGATTTAGTATTTATGACATTTTCAAAATAACAGAATGCTAATAGTGAAAAGATCAGCATTGCTGATGTTCCATATGGGAGAGGGTGTAGCTATAAAGGAATAGCACAAGAACATCATGGTGGGTGGTGATACAATACTGTCTTCAGACTGTGGTGGTAGTTATAAGAAAATAAATATATGTTAAACCATAAAGAAATCATACAATAAAGTTCAAGTATAATGTAGGATTCTCTAAAATACAATTTTAATATATAATACAAAGAATAAAGATTTAAACACAGTATATAATAATAACCACTATACAAAAATCAACTCTGTAAGAACTTTAAGAACCATCTCTTTCTAGGGTGTATTTAGTATGAAGAGCAAGAATAACATATTTATACATTACTAAAAAGTACCTGAAGTACTTTATCTTAAGATATAAAAAGACAAAAGAGGATGTCAGTAACAACAAACTTAAGAATGACAAATCTCTAGATATCTTATGACGTCCTAGGTTTTTCAGAGTCTATCATACACCAATGTTAAATTAAATATCAAAGGGTGATATATATGAATGCTTAGTCGCCAGGAAATGGTACTGTTTGGGTAAGGATTAAGAGGTGTCATCTTGCTGGAGAGTGTGTGTCACTGGAGATGGGCTTTGATGTTATACTGCCCACCCCATGTGTGTGTGTATGTGTATGTGAGAGAGAGAGCATAGCTACCTTCCAAATATCACTCAGAGATCCACATTGGAAGTTACCTATCGCTGGAAGAGGAAAGACTACTGAGAAAGCTCTAACTTTCAAGTTCCAGGTCCAAAAGTACCCACAAAAATTGAGGCTACCCTAGGGAATACTTCCTGCCTCACTGTGAATCTAGTACCTAATACTAACAATGACAAAATGGGAAGATCATGAAGACAGACTCCATTCTGGTAGTATAAGTATTTAGGGACTGCTGAAAATTTAGGGTAAGGAATCATGGAGAAAAAAAAAATGTAGTGCAGCAGCTTCTACTTGAAAACCTAATAATGCAAGCCAATAAGAATAAGATGATAAGTTACAAGAAACATATTTTCAAGATATATTTAAACATATTTTTAAACATCAAACATATTTTTAAGATACCAACATTTACCCAATACCGGTAACATAATAAAAAGTACAGAAAATCATAGATTATTATCTCTTACAAACACAAAAGCAAAAATTCTCATCAAATGCAAACACTCAAAGCAATAACATAGATAAAAATATATTATGATCAAATGAAATTCATACTTGGGATTGTAAGGATTGACAACATTCCCAAATCCATCAATTAAACTTACCACACTAGAAGATGGAAAAAGATGAAAAATCATAGTAACACAGCCTCAAGCATTTAGGATAGAATCACTGAGCACATTATAAAACAAACCATTCTTCCTCAATCATATCTCCAACATCTACAAAAACACTACAGTTGTCATTATACTTAGTAGTAATACATGGAATGCCGTTCTGCTAAAACCAGGAAAACATGAGAACATTTGCTTTTATTCAATCCTGGATTGGAGGACCCAGTGAATAAAATAAGACCTGAAAAATAAATTAATCATGTCTGTCCTGGAAAGGTAAAAGTAAAACTGCATTAGTAGGTAACACGAATGATCTATAAAGAGAACTGTAATGAAATAACCATTCTAGAGTTGACTATGTTTCTATACTAAAAAGATTGAAATCTCAAGTTTTAAAACTCCATGTATAATTTTATTTTAAAAATACAACAAGTAAGGGTAGGAAACAGTTCTGTCGGTAAAGTGTTTGCACTGCAAACACAATGATCTGAATTGGCTCCCTATGACCCATATTTAGAAAGCCAGGTGTTACGGTTTGTGCTTGTAATCCAGTACTTGGATGGCAGTGACAGATGGATTCCCCAGAGCTTCCTAGCCAGCCAAGCTTACCCACTTGTCAAGTTTCAGGTGAAGGAGAGATCATTTCAAAAAAACCAAGTGTAAGATTGATGTGTTGGAAAGTTTAATATGCTGAGGCAAATATAGATATTAATAAATAGGGACATATACCATGTAGATTGACAGAAACCCTAATTTTAAGGTATAAAATTTTCCATATATATATATATATATATATATATATATATATATATATATATATGTATGTATGTATATATATAAAATCACTATAAGTTCAATATAAAATCTCAGCAGGCTTTTTGTGGAAGTTGAAAGAATTAAATTTAAAGTGTGTTTGGAAAAGTACAGGAAGTAGAGGAGCCAGAATGATACTCAAAAGGAAGTATAAAAGGTTAAAACTCACATTACCTAATTTCAAGACTATGGTAATCAAGATAATATATATTATCAACAGAAGATTGACATATATAGTCAAGAGATCACAAACAAACCAGCAAATAATGCCTACTGAATTTTAAAAAGTTTTTTTGATAAATGGTACTGGAACATTTTAAGCAATATTTTTTGCCTTGACCCTTTAGCTAAGGCTATGAACAAAAAAAATCATTCAAAATTTTTCATGAGCTTATATGTAAAGCCAAAATCTATAAAATATTAGTAGAATGTCTTTGAGACCTTAGATAAGAAAATTCAGAGTTGGAGAAATTTTGTGTAAAATATATACTTCTTATAGGGCTTGTATCCAGAATCTATAAAGTGTTCTTGGAATTTAGTAAGACCAACATCTCATTTAAAATACATGATTTATAAAAAAAATAAAAGTTTAATTTAAAAAATAAACGATTTGCAGTTAAAGGCATGAAAATACATTCAACACTATTAGTAAGTATACATAAGTTAAAGCATAATGAGTCATCATTAATACCAATTATAATAATGGCTGGTATTAAAGAAAAAAAACCTAAAACATTCACAGGATAGATTTTAGAAAACAATGCAGAGTAACTCTCACATATTGCAAAAATATCAAATACACTTTAGAAACAGCCCAGAAGTTGTTAATTGTAGTTAAGTATTCTTAATCATTCAAAGCCAGAAATTCCACTCTGACATATTTA